AACAACAAAAAAATTAAGTAAATCAATAAATCTCTTTTAAAAAAGTATAACAAAGGTTAAAAGTTTAAAAAAGCATTACAAGAAAAGCAAGCCGGATAACTTTTTAAAAGAGTAAATGGACCGGAGAACAGATACTAGAGGCAAGAATCATGATACCCCCAAATAAGAACATATAAACCTACCCATACACGTGGTGAATTACTGAAAATGAGCCCCCCAAATTAGCTGTGTACTCTCTTTGACTAAATTTATACAGGAGTCCCACCTCACCAGTGTCTATCAGTCATTTGTAAATTAGTTGTTTAGAATTCCTAATACTTTTTATAGAAACAAAGGCAGATACAGTAGTTGGGTTCTAAACACATTTTATGTGTCCTGTAGCTGACCCAGAGTGTTTCCAAGCCTCTCTGAGTATCAGCTCTGGGCAATGGAATGTGGATGGGAAACTGAGTTAACATGGCCTGTGGGCAACAGTCTTAGGACCCTGAAGGAGGACACTGAGATAGGAGTTTCGTTGCCTGTAAGTTTTTCCCCAAGGCACCTACATGTAAAATCCGTCTCAAAAAAAAAAAAAAAAAAATTAAGTAAGTAAATCAATGAATCTTTTTTTAAAAAGTATAACAAAGGTTAAAGGTTTAAAAAAGCATTAGAAGAAAAGCAAGCCGGATAACTTTTCTTGTAAAAAGACTAGAGATGCTAGTCTAACCAGCATCTCTAGCCTCACGAGGTAGGCCAGGCTCTTGGTCTTCAACTCACTTGTTGATCATGTCTCCAAGTCTCATGGAGCTTTCTACTTTCAGGTCAATGACATGTTCATGTGGCTTGTCCAGCCCTGCCTGGAATTTGGTCGCCTTCATTGTAAATTTGTTGTCCAAACGTCTCCCATCCACCTTGCCTTCTCAATGATGAGACTGTACTCCTCTCTACTTGGTAAGTGCTAGCCATGATTCTTCAGCCACATGGGGGATGGGTCGACCTTGGCTATTTCTTTCTTTTTCTTTTTTTTTGAAATGAAGTCTCACTCTGTCATCAAGGCTAGAGTGCAGTGGCATGATCTTGGCTCACTGCAGCCTCCGCCTCCCAGGTTCAAGTGATTCTCCTGCCTTGGCCTTCTGAGTAGCTGAGATTAAGGCACATACCACTCTATTTTTTTGTGTGTTTTTAGTAGAGACGGGGTTTCACCATGTTGACCAGGCTGGTCTTGAACTCGTGACCTCAAGTGGTCCACCTGCCTCTGCCTCCCAAAGTGCTGGGATTATAGGCATGAGCCACAGCGCCTGGCCTACCTTGACTATTTTTTCTGCTCTCACCTCTCTTTGGACCCAATGAATTACAACAAGACTGGCTGTTTGGTCTAGAACAAGCAAGCCTTTGGAGTGCAGATAGTAGAGTTTGGTAGGGAAAATCCATGTGTTTAGTCTTTGTCTGATATTGATTTTTGGGGGGCATTCTAGTGCAAATTACCCCATCGTTCCTCAGTCTAAGCTCCTCATTCACATAATGAGAGTAGTAATTCCTGCCCTTTTTACCTCACAGGGATATCCTAGAGGGAGATGAACATAGCGGGACCCCCATCTTACCTCCTCTCTGATAAGGGATTAATATCCCAAAAAAACCCAAAAAAGTAAATGTAGACTTATTGATCCAGCACTTTCACCTCTGGATATAAACCCAAAAGAATTGAAAGCAGAGACTCGATCAGATATTTGTATAACCATGTTCATAGAACTTTTGTTCACAATAGTCAAATGGTAAAAACAACCCATGTGTCTACTGATGGATGAACAAATAAGCAAAATGTGTTGTAATTTTGCAATGAACTACTATTTAGCCTTAAAAAGGAAATAAATTCTGATGCATGCTATAGCTTGGATGAACACTAAAGCCATTATACTAAGAAAATAAGCCAGTCACAAAATGACTGTGCAGTTCTACCTCTATAATGTACGTAGAGTAGCCAAATTTATAAAGACAGAAAGGAGAGTTCTGATTGCAGGAGGGATGAGGGAGGATGGAGGGGGAAGTTATTGTTTAATGAGCAAAGAGCTTCTATATCCAGTTCTGGATGTAGATGGTGGTGATGGTTGCACAGCAATATGAATGCACTTAATACCACTGAACTATACACTAAAAAATGGTTAGATGGTAAATTATACATCACGTATTTTACCGCAATAAAAATATTGCAGCAGGCCGGGCGCGGTGGCTCAAGCCTGTAATCCCAGCACTTTGGGAGGTTGAGACGGGCGGATCACGAGGTCAGGAGATCGAGACCATCCTGGCGAATACGGTGAAACCCCGTCTCTACTAAAAAATACAAAAAAAGTCTCTACTAAAAAGGCTGGGCACGGTGGCTCACGCTTGTAATTCCAGCACTTTGGGAAGTTGAGGTGGGTGGATCATGAGGTCAGGAGTTCGAGACCAGCCTGGCCAACAACACAGTGAAACCCCGTCTCTACTAAAAATACAAAAATTAGTTGGGCATGGTGGCGGGCCCCTGTAATCCCAGCTACTCAGGAGGCTGAGGCAGGAGAATCACTTGTACCCAGGATGTGGAGGTTGCAGTGAGCCGAGATCATGCCACTGCACTCGAGTATGGGTGACAGAGCTAGATTCCAGCTCAAAAAAATAATATATATATATATTTATATGTAGTCTATATATTTATGTATATTATATATATTTATATATATTACATATATTTTATATAGCGGTATATATATATATTTAAAAATTATATATATAAATAAAAATATTGGTCACGCCTATAATCCCAGCATTTTGAGAGGCCAAGGTGGGTGGATTGCTTGAGCTCAGGAGTTCGAGACCAGCCTGGGCAACCTGGCGAAACCCCATCTCTACAAAAAAATACAAAAATTAACCAGATGTGGTGGCTAGTGCCTGTGGTCCCAGCTACTCAGGAGGCTGAGGAGGGAGGATCACTTGAGCCCGGGAGGTCGAGACTACAGTGAGCTGTGACTGCACCACTGTACTCCAACCTGGGAGACAGAGTGAGACCCTGTTTCAAAAAAAAAAAAAAAATGCATGTGACAAATGATCTGGTAGGTGATAAGCACTCTGCCAGTATCAGTCGCCCCTCTGGCCCAGACCCTTCAAAGGCAAAGCCAACCAGTTCACAGCCCTTATATCTGTGGCATTCTGCACTCTGTCCTGAGATTCGCTTTTCTCACTTATAGATGAAATCAGGGCAGTAGAAGAGGAGGAAATGGAATTAGGTGAAGGCCTGTCAAGTCAACAAATCTTTCTCTGGCTCCAAGGACTGTTTCTCTTTTCCTTGGTGTGGACCGTGGCTGGCACCATCAATGCAGACAGCAGAAAGAAATTTGATGTGTTTTTCCGCAACCTGATCATGGGCATGGATGATAACCACCCAAGGCCCAAAAGCGTCAAACTCACCAAAAACAACACCTTTCCAGAAAGAGGTAATTTAGAACCTGTTATGTTCTAGTATAATAGTTTGAATTACGTGTTCTAAACGCAACCAGAATGTGCCGACAGGTGAGCCCTTTACAAAAGCCAAGGAAGGCCAGGCACGGTGGCTAATAAATGTGTAAGGAATGACAGAATTAAAATATCATCATTGGCTAGGCATGGTGGCTCACACTGGCAATCCCAGCACTTTGGGAGGCCGAGGTAGGCAGATCGCTTGAGGTCAGCAGTTCAAGGCCAGCCTGGCCAACATCGTGAAACCCCGTCTCTATTAAAAATACAAACAAAATTAGTCAGGCATGGTGGCATGCGCCTGTAATCCCAGCTATTCAGGAGGCTGAGGCAGGAGGATTGCTTGAGTCAGGGAGGTAGAGGTTGCAGTGAGCTGAGATCATGCCACTGCACTCCAGCCTGAGCAACACAACTGGACTCTGTCTCAAAAAAAAAAAGGAGTTGGCCCATGGGTGGTCCTGAAGTCAGGGTTTTATGGGATACTTAACCACTTTTTTAATTTAGAAAAAGATGATATGACTGTTTTATTTTTGCAAAAATTACCTATAATTTCATCACCAAAACAAAATGAGAAATATAGACCCTTGTGTTTTTCTTATTCCTTTCTATTTCTGTTGTGTGTTGACATGCCTTCATATAGGGTACTTACGGTATTAATATTTCTTTTAATTTTGTCATTATAGTTTTTTGTTTGTTTGTTTTTGAGATGGAGTCTTGTTCTCTTGCCCCTGCTGGAGTGTAGTGTTATGATCTTGGCTCGCTGCAACCTCCGCTTCCCAGGTTCAAGATATTCTCCTGTCTCAGCCTCCCAAGTAGCTGGGATTACAGGCGTGCACCACCATGCTGGGCTAATTTTTGTATTTTTAGTAGAGATGGGGTTTCACCACATTGGCCAGGCTGGTCTCAAACTCTTGACCTTAAGTGATCCACCTGCCTCGGCCTCCCAAAGTGCTGGGATTACAGGCATGAGCCACTGCACGCGGCCTGCAGTTATATTTTAATATCATATTGAAATGTTTCCAATTTTGCTACATACACTATCTTCAAACTGATCATTTAGTGACTATAAATATTCTTATGTGTGTGGCATCATTTCTTACAAGGAAGATGCTTCTTCTAAGTAGCTTTTGTTTTGTTTTTCTACCACCCAAGTAAGACATTATATAAAATTTAGAAAATACAGAGAAAGGAATAGAACAAAATTAAGATCAATGGTAATCCCACGCTCCAGAAATATCACTATGTTTTCTTTCAGTTTTTTCTGTATTCCTAGAACAAAAAGATCATACTATAAATACTTCCCAAACAGCTTTAATTTTTGCAATTGTAAAAAAAAAAAAAAAAACGTGTATCAAGGGCCACGAGAGAACTTCCAGGGGAAACACTAATGTTGCATATCTTAAGAGTGACCTGGATTACACAAATATGTGTATTTGCCAAAACTTAGTAAATGTGGGCTTAGGATGTGTGCATGTCGTTGTAAGATTTATGTCAAAGGAAAAAATATATAAATAAATACTGAACACTAGGTAGTGATAAGCACGCCGAAGTATTTATGAGAAAGTGTGTAGATGCTTAACAATTAATTTTGAATTTTTTTTGTAAAAAAGATAGATTAAAGGAAGGATAGAGGGATGACCAGGTATGTACTAAAACAAACAAAAAGCTAATGGTAAAATCTAGAAGGTGAGTATACAAATGTTCACTGTACAATGTCTTCCATGTTTCTGTATGTTTGAATTTTTTTTCATAATAATGAAATAATGAATGAGCAAGTAGATACTATTACCGCCTGCCACATACTCTTTCTCTGCACAGCTTGCATGCTTCATGTGACACATGGCCATCTGTCAGGTTGTGAACCCCAAAATTCTGAGACAGGTCTCAGTTAATTCAGAAAGTTTATTTTGCCAAGGTTGAGGATGCACGCTTTTGACACAACTCAGGAGGCCCTGACAACATGCGCCCAAGGTGGTCAGAGCACAGTTTTATACATTTTAGGGAGACATGAGACATCAATCAACATATGTAAGGTGAACATTGGTGCCATCTGGAAAGGCAGGACAAGTTGAAGCTGGGTGGAGACTTCCAAGACATAGGTAGATAAGAGAGAAATGGTTGCATTCTTTTGAGTTTCTGATTAGCCTCTCCAAAAGAGGCAATCAGATAAGCTTTTATCTCAGTGAGCAGAAGGGTGATTTTGAATAGAATGGGAGGCAGGTTTGCCCTAAGCGATTCCCTGCTTGACTTTTCCTTTTGGCTTAATGATTTTGGGGGCCCAAGGCATGCTCCTTTCGCAAGATGAACCCCGTGGAGGCTCTGTCTCTGTACCAATCCATTAATCAGATTGTCGTGCATTCATTGAGTTTTTGGTTTGGATGATTTTGCTCATTTTATTGTCATAGTAAAATACACATAACACCAAATTTACCATTTTGACCATTTTTAATTGTTCAAATCAGTGGCATTAAATACATTCACATTGTTGGGCAACCATCACCTCTCTCCATCTCCAAGATGTTTTTCACCTTCCCTAACCATAACTGTTCTCATTAAACAGTACCTGCCCCAATGCTCCTTCTCCACCCCTACCCTGGAAATAATCATTCTACTTTCTGTCACCATAAATTTGACTGCCCTGGGTACTGCATGTAAGAGGAATCATACGGTATTTGTCTTCCTGTGACTGGCTTATTTTACTTAGCATAATGTCTTCGGCGTTCATCCATGTTGTAGCATGTGTCAGAATTTCCTTTCTTTTTAAGGCTGAATATATTCCGTTTCATGTACACACCACGTTTTGTTTATCCATTCATCTGTCAGTGGACCCTTGAGTTGCTTCCATCTTTTGGCTATGGCAAGTAAAACTGCTATGAACATGGGTGTACGAATACTGTCTTTTGAGTCTCTGCTATCTTTGGTGTTTATACTAAGAAGTGAAAATCTGGATCATGTGTTAATACCATGTTTAATTTTTTGAGGAACTGCTGTAATGTTTTCCATAGAGGCTGCAATATTGTACATGCCCACCAGCGATACACAGAAGTTCTGATACCTCCACATCCTCACCAGTACTTGTATTTTCTCTGTATGTTTTACTGATAATAGCCATCATGGTGGGTATGAAGTTCATTCTTATTTTTTCAGAAAAAAAGTACAATAAAAATATGTGATAAAAAGACAACCACGATTAACATTTTGATGACAATTAGACATTTTCTTATGCATGTATGTATCTCCAGGTTTGTTTTTAAAATATAAAATCATTCTGTACTTTTATCTCCTAGTTTTTCCTATCATTAACAACTTTCTAGTGGCTACATATTTGCTTAATTCATGTTATTTCCTCATGATGATTTCCTAAAATTGCTGAGTCAAGAGGTCGGTAACATTTTAAAGCTTTTGGTTGCTAAACTTCCCTTATGCCTCACTGAGTATTGTCTTTTCAAAATCTCAAGCAATTTGAAATATGAAAATCATATCTCGGCCAGGCACAGTGGCTCACATCTGTAATCTCAGCACTTCTGGGAGGCTGAGGCAGGCGGATCACTTGAGGCCAGGATTTTAAGACCAGCCTGGCCAACATGGTGAAACACCGTCTCTACTAAAAATACAAAAATTAGCTGGACTTGATCGTGGGCGCCTGTAGTCCCAGCTACTTGGGAGGCTGAGGCAGGAGATTTGCTTGAACCTGGGAGGCAGAGGTTGCAGTGAGCTGAGATATCACACCACTGCAATCCAGCCTGGGCGACAGAGCAAGACTCCATCTCAAAAAACAAAACAAAACAAAACAGAAAGTCAAGCAATTTGAAATATGAAAATCATATTGCATTTTAACTTTCTCCTCCTTTAAAAAAGTTTTAATAGACTTTAGTTTTAAATTTATAGAAAAGTGTTGCAGAAAATACAGAGTTTCCATATGCCACTTCTCCTCACCCACGCAAACACAGTTCTCTCATTAACATCTTGCAGTACTGTGGTATTATAGTTACAATTGATGAACCAATATTGCTAAATTATTATGAACAAAGTTCATAGTCTACATTAAGGTTCATTCTTGTGTTGTATGTCCTATGGGTTTTGACAAAGATGTAAATGTCACATATTCACCATTACAGAACTATGCAGGATAGCTTCACACAACCCAAAAAATCCTATGCTCCACCTCTTCATCCTCCCTTCCTTCCCTGATCCCCAGGCAACCACTGATCTTTTTACTGTCTCTATAGTTTTGACTTTTCCAAGACATGATATTCTTGGAATCATACAGTATGTGAAATTTTTAGACTGCCTTATTTCACTTAGCAATATGCAGTTGAGGTTCCTACATGGATTTTTGTTCTTTGTTAGATTGCTTCTTTATCACTTAATAATATTTCATTGTACGTATGTTTATCCATCCACCCATTAAAGGACATTTTGGTTTATTACAATTTTTGGTACTTATAAATAAAGCAGTTATAAACATTTATGTAAAGGCCTTTTGTGAACATAACTTTTCCATTAATTCATTTAGTAAACACATAGACATGCTATTGCTGGATAATGTTAAGCCTGTGTTTACCTAGACCAAGTCAAGAAGAACAGATTTCTTAATAATTTGGGGTCTTTCTATTAATAAACATGGATTATCTATTTATTTAGACTGTTTTTTATTTCTTTGGCTAGAGTTTTATAGTTTTCCTCATATAGATCTTGTGTATTTTTTGTTAAATTTATACCTAAGTAGTTCCTTCTTTTTTGGAGTTAATGTAAATGGTATTGTGTTTTCATTTCAAATTCCACTTGTTCATTGCCTGTATATAGAAAAGCAATTGACTTTTGTATATTTATCTCATATCCAGCCATCTTGCTACAATCACTTATAAGTTCCAAGTTTTTTTGTGGATTCTTTGGGATTTTTTTTTACATAATTATGCCATTGACAGACAGTTTTATTTCTTCTCTCCCAATATTTTATTTCCTTTTCTTCTCTTATTCCATTAGCTAGGACTT